AGAGAGTGAGTGTGTGAGTGAGTGTGAGTGTAAGTGTGAGTGTGAGAGTGAGAGTGAGTGAGAGTGAGAGTGAGTGAGAGTGTGAGTGTGTGAGAGTGTGAGTGTGTGAGAGTGTGGTGAGTGAGTGAGTGAGTGAGTGAGTGAGTGAGAGTGAGAGTGAGAGTGAGTGAGCGTGTGAGAGTGTGAGAGTGAGTGAGCGTGAGAGCCTGAGAGTGTGAGCGTGAGTGTGATAGTGAGTGTGAGAGTAAGAGTGAGTGTGAGAGTAAGAGTGAGAGTGTGTGTGAGAGTGAGTGAGAGTGAGAGTGAGTGAGAATGAGAGTGAGTGAGAGTGTGAGTGTGTGAGAGTGTGTGTGTGAGAGTGTGTGTGTGAGGGTGAGAGTGAGTGAGAGAGTGAGTGTGAGAGTGAGAGTGAGAGTGAGAGTGAGTGTGAGAGTGAGTGTGAGAGTGAGTGAGTGTGAGAGTGAGAGTGAGAGTGAGTGAGAGTGTGAGTGTGAGAGAGCGAGTGTGGGTGTGAGAGAGTGTGTGTGAGAGTGAGTGAGTGTGAGAGTGAGTGAGTGAGTGAGTGTGAGTGAGTGAGTGTGAGAGAGTGAGTGTGAGAGTGAGTGAGTGAGTGAGTGTGAGTGAGTGAGTGTGAGAGAGTGAGTGTGAGAGTGAGTGAGTGAGTGAGTGTGAGTGAGTGAGTGTGAGAGAGTGAGTGTGAGAGTGAGTGAGTGAGTGAGTGTGAGTGAGTGAGTGTGAGAGAGTGAGTGTGAGAGTGAGTGAGTGAGTGAGTGTGAGTGAGTGAGTGTGAGAGAGTGAGTGTGAGAGTGAGTGAGTGAGTGAGTGTGAGTGAGTGAGTGTGAGAGAGTGAGTGTGAGAGTGAGTGAGTGAGTGAGTGTGAGTGAGTGAGTGTGAGAGAGTGAGTGTGAGAGTGAGTGAGTGAGTGAGTGTGAGTGAGTGAGTGTGAGAGAGTGAGTGTGAGAGTGAGTGAGTGAGTGAGTGTGAGTGAGTGAGTGTGAGAGAGTGAGTGTGAGAGTGAGTGAGTGAGTGAGTGTGAGTGAGTGAGTGTGAGAGAGTGAGTGTGAGAGTGAGTGAGTGAGTGAGTGTGAGTGAGTGAGTGTGAGAGAGTGAGTGTGAGAGTGAGTGAGTGAGTGAGTGTGAGTGAGTGAGTGTGAGAGAGTGAGTGTGAGAGTGAGTGAGTGAGTGAGTGTGAGTGAGTGAGTGTGAGAGAGTGAGTGTGAGAGTGAGTGAGTGAGTGAGTGTGAGTGAGTGAGTGTGAGAGAGTGAGTGTGAGAGTGAGTGAGTGAGTGAGTGTGAGTGAGTGAGTGTGAGAGAGTGAGTGTGAGAGTGAGTGAGTGAGTGAGTGTGAGTGAGTGAGTGTGAGAGAGTGAGTGTGAGAGTGAGTGAGTGAGTGAGTGTGAGTGAGTGAGTGTGAGAGAGTGAGTGTGAGAGTGAGTGAGTGAGTGAGTGTGAGTGAGTGAGTGTGAGAGAGTGAGTGTGAGAGTGAGTGAGTGAGTGAGTGTGAGTGAGTGAGTGTGAGAGAGTGAGTGTGAGAGTGAGTGAGTGAGTGAGTGTGAGTGAGTGAGTGTGAGAGAGTGAGTGTGAGAGTGAGTGAGTGAGTGAGTGTGAGTGAGTGAGTGTGAGAGAGTGAGTGTGAGAGTGAGTGAGTGAGTGAGTGTGAGTGAGTGAGTGTGAGAGAGTGAGTGTGAGAGTGAGTGAGTGAGTGAGTGTGAGTGAGTGAGTGTGAGAGAGTGAGTGTGAGAGTGAGTGAGTGAGTGAGTGTGAGTGAGTGAGTGTGAGAGAGTGAGTGTGAGAGTGAGTGAGTGAGTGAGTGTGAGTGAGTGAGTGTGAGAGAGTGAGTGTGAGAGTGAGTGAGTGAGTGAGTGTGAGTGAGTGAGTGTGAGAGAGTGAGTGTGAGAGTGAGTGAGTGAGTGAGTGTGAGTGAGTGAGTGTGAGAGAGTGAGTGTGAGAGTGAGTGAGTGAGTGAGTGTGAGTGAGTGAGTGTGAGAGAGTGAGTGTGAGAGTGAGTGAGTGAGTGAGTGTGAGTGAGTGAGTGTGAGAGAGTGAGTGTGAGAGTGAGTGAGTGAGTGAGTGTGAGTGAGTGAGTGTGAGAGAGTGAGTGTGAGAGTGAGTGAGTGAGTGAGTGTGAGTGAGTGAGTGTGAGAGAGTGAGTGTGAGAGTGAGTGAGTGAGTGAGTGTGAGTGAGTGAGTGTGAGAGAGTGAGTGTGAGAGTGAGTGAGTGAGTGAGTGTGAGTGAGTGAGTGTGAGAGAGTGAGTGTGAGAGTGAGTGAGTGAGTGAGTGTGAGTGAGTGAGTGTGAGAGAGTGAGTGTGAGAGTGAGTGAGTGAGTGAGTGTGAGTGAGTGAGTGTGAGAGAGTGAGTGTGAGAGTGAGTGAGTGAGTGAGTGTGAGTGAGTGAGTGTGAGAGAGTGAGTGTGAGAGTGAGTGTGAGAGTGAGAGTGAGAGTGTGTGTGAGAGTGAGAGTGAGTGAGAGTGTGAGTGTGTGAGAGTGTGTGTGTGAGGGTGAGAGTGAGGGTGAGAGTGAGTGTGAGAGTGAGAGTGAGTGTGAGAGTGAGAGTGAGTGTGAGAGTGAGCGAGTGAGCGTGAGCCAGTGTGAGTGAGAGTGTGAGTGTGTGAGAGTGTGTGTGAGAGTGTGTGTGTGAGGGTGAGAGTGAGGGTGAGAGTGAGTGTGAGAGTGAGAGTGAGTGTGAGAGTGAGAGTGAGTGTGAGAGTGAGCGAGTGAGCGTGAGCCAGTGTGAGTGAGAGTGTGAGTGTGTGAGAGTGTGTGTGAGAGTGTGTGTGTGAGGGTGAGAGTGAGGGTGAGAGTGAGTGTGAGAGTGAGAGTGAGTGTGAGAGTGAGAGTGAGTGTGAGAGTGAGCGAGTGAGCGTGAGCCAGTGTGAGTGAGAGTGTGAGTGTGTGAGAGTGTGTGTGAGAGTGTGTGTGTGAGGGTGAGAGTGAGGGTGAGAGTGAGTGTGAGAGTGAGAGTGAGTGTGAGAGTGAGAGTGAGTGTGAGAGTGAGCGAGTGAGCGTGAGCCAGTGTGAGTGAGATGAGTGTGAGTGTGTGTGAGTGAGTGTGTGTGTGAGAGTGAGTGTGAGAGTGAGAGTGAGTGTGAGAGTGAGTGTGAGAGTGAGTGAGCGAGTGTGAGTGAGCGAGTGAGCGTGAGCGAGTGTGAGTGAGAGTGTAGTGTGAGAGTGTGAGTGAGTGTGAGAGTGAGTGTGAGAGTGAGTGTGAGTGAGTGTGAGACTGTGAGTGAGTGTGAGAGTGAGTGTGAGAGTGTGAGAGTGAGTGTGTGTGAGAGTGAGTGAGTGAGAGTGAGTGAGTGAGTGAGCGTGTGAGAGTGTGAGAGTGAGTGAGCGTGAGAGTGTGAGCGTGAGAGTGAGAGTGTGAGAGTGATAGTGTGAGAGTGAGTGTGAGAGTGAGTGTGAGAGTGTGTGTGTGAGTGAGTGAGAGTGTGAGAGTGAGAGAGTGTGTGAGTGAGAGTGAGAGAGTGTGTGAGTGAGAGTGAGAGAGTGTGTGAGTGAGAGTGAGAGAGTGTGTGAGTGAGAGTGAGAGAGTGTGTGAGTGAGAGTGAGAGAGTGTGTGAGTGAGAGTGAGAGAGTGTGTGAGTGAGAGTGAGAGAGTGTGTGAGTGAGAGTGAGAGAGTGTGTGAGTGAGAGTGAGAGAGTGTGTGAGTGAGAGTGAGAGAGTGTGTGAGTGAGAGTGAGAGAGTGTGTGAGTGAGAGTGAGAGAGTGTGTGAGTGAGAGTGAGAGAGTGTGTGAGTGAGAGTGAGAGAGTGTGTGAGTGAGAGTGAGAGAGTGTGTGAGTGAGAGTGAGAGAGTGTGTGAGTGAGAGTGAGAGAGTGTGTGAGTGAGAGTGAGAGAGTGTGTGAGTGAGAGTGAGAGAGTGTGTGAGTGAGAGTGAGAGAGTGTGTGAGTGAGAGTGAGAGAGTGTGTGAGTGAGAGTGAGAGAGTGTGTGAGTGAGAGTGAGAGAGTGTGTGAGTGAGAGTGAGAGAGTGTGTGAGTGAGAGTGAGAGAGTGTGTGAGTGAGAGTGAGAGAGTGTGTGAGTGAGAGTGAGAGAGTGTGTGAGTGAGAGTGAGTGAGTGAGTGTGAGAGTGTGAGAGTGAGAGTGTGAGAGTGAGAGAGTGTGTGAGTGAAAGTGAGAGAGTGAGTGAGTGTGAGTGAGTGAGAGTGTGAGAGTGAGTGTGAGAGTGAGTGTGAGAGTGTGAGTGAGTGTGAGAGTGAGAGTGAGAGTGAGAGTGAGAGTGAGAGTGAGAGTGAGAGTGAGAGTGAGAGTGAGAGTGAGAGTGAGAGTGAGAGTGAGAGTGAGAGTGAGAGTGAGAGTGAGAGTGAGAGTGAGAGTGAGAGTGAGAGTGAGAGTGAGAGTGAGAGTGAGAGTGAGAGTGAGAGTGAGAGTGAGAGTGAGAGTGAGAGTGAGAGTGAGAGTGAGAGTGAGAGTGAGAGTGAGAGTGAGAGTGAGAGTGAGAGTGAGAGTGAGAGTGAGAGTGAGAGTGAGAGTGAGAGTGAGAGTGAGAGTGAGAGTGAGAGTGAGAGTGAGAGTGAGAGTGAGAGTGAGAGTGAGAGTGAGAGTGAGAGTGAGAGTGAGAGTGAGAGTGAGAGTGAGAGTGAGAGTGAGAGTGAGAGTGAGAGTGAGAGTGAGAGTGAGAGTGAGAGTGAGAGTGAGAGTGAGAGTGAGAGTGAGAGTGAGAGTGAGAGTGAGAGTGAGAGTGAGAGTGAGAGTGAGAGTGAGAGTGAGAGTGAGAGTGAGAGTGAGAGTGAGAGTGAGAGTGAGAGTGAGAGTGAGAGTGAGAGTGAGAGTGAGAGTGAGAGTGAGAGTGAGAGTGAGAGTGAGAGTGAGAGTGAGAGTGAGAGTGAGAGTGAGAGTGAGAGTGAGAGTGAGAGTGAGAGTGAGAGTGAGAGTGAGAGTGAGAGTGAGAGTGAGAGTGAGAGTGAGAGTGAGAGTGAGAGTGAGAGTGAGAGTGAGAGTGAGAGTGAGAGTGAGAGTGAGAGTGAGAGTGAGAGTGAGAGTGAGAGTGAGAGTGAGAGTGAGAGTGAGAGTGAGAGTGAGAGTGAGAGTGAGAGTGAGAGTGAGAGTGAGAGTGAGAGTGAGAGTGAGAGTGAGAGTGAGAGTGAGAGTGAGAGTGAGAGTGAGAGTGAGAGTGAGAGTGAGAGTGAGAGTGAGAGTGAGAGTGAGAGTGAGAGTGAGAGTGAGAGTGAGAGTGAGAGTGAGAGTGAGAGTGAGAGTGAGAGTGAGAGTGAGAGTGAGAGTGAGAGTGAGAGTGAGAGTGAGAGTGAGAGTGAGAGTGAGAGTGAGAGTGAGAGTGAGAGTGAGAGTGAGAGTGAGAGTGAGAGTGAGAGTGAGAGTGAGAGTGAGAGTGAGAGTGAGAGTGAGAGTGAGAGTGAGAGTGAGAGTGAGAGTGAGAGTGAGAGTGAGAGTGAGAGTGAGAGTGAGAGTGAGAGTGAGAGTGAGAGTGAGAGTGAGAGTGAGAGTGAGAGTGAGAGTGAGAGTGAGAGTGAGAGTGAGAGTGAGAGTGAGAGTGAGAGTGAGAGTGAGAGTGAGAGTGAGAGTGAGAGTGAGAGTGAGAGTGAGAGTGAGAGTGAGAGTGAGAGTGAGAGTGAGAGTGAGAGTGAGAGTGAGAGTGAGAGTGAGAGTGAGAGTGAGAGTGAGAGTGAGAGTGAGAGTGAGAGTGAGAGTGAGAGTGAGAGTGAGAGTGAGAGTGAGAGTGAGAGTGAGAGTGAGAGTGAGAGTGAGAGTGAGAGTGAGAGTGAGAGTGAGAGTGAGAGTGAGAGTGAGAGTGAGAGTGAGAGTGAGAGTGAGAGTGAGAGTGAGAGTGAGAGTGAGAGTGAGAGTGAGAGTGAGAGTGAGAGTGAGAGTGAGAGTGAGAGTGAGAGTGAGAGTGAGAGTGAGAGTGAGAGTGAGAGTGAGAGTGAGAGTGAGAGTGAGAGTGAGAGTGAGAGTGAGAGTGAGAGTGAGAGTGAGAGTGAGAGTGAGAGTGAGAGTGAGAGTGAGAGTGAGAGTGAGAGTGAGAGTGAGAGTGAGAGTGAGAGTGAGAGTGAGAGTGAGAGTGAGAGTGAGAGTGAGAGTGAGAGTGAGAGTGAGAGTGAGAGTGAGAGTGAGAGTGAGAGTGAGAGTGAGAGTGAGAGTGAGAGTGAGAGTGAGAGTGAGAGTGAGAGTGAGAGTGAGAGTGAGAGTGAGAGTGAGAGTGAGAGTGAGAGTGAGAGTGAGAGTGAGAGTGAGAGTGAGAGTGAGAGTGAGAGTGAGAGTGAGAGTGAGAGTGAGAGTGAGAGTGAGAGTGAGAGTGAGAGTGAGAGTGAGAGTGAGAGTGAGAGTGAGAGTGAGAGTGAGAGTGAGAGTGAGAGTGAGAGTGAGAGTGAGAGTGAGAGTGAGAGTGAGAGTGAGAGTGAGAGTGAGAGTGAGAGTGAGAGTGAGAGTGAGAGTGAGAGTGAGAGTGAGAGTGAGAGTGAGAGTGAGAGTGAGAGTGAGAGTGAGAGTGAGAGTGAGAGTGAGAGTGAGAGTGAGAGTGAGAGTGAGAGTGAGAGTGAGAGTGAGAGTGAGAGTGAGAGTGAGAGTGAGAGTGAGAGTGAGAGTGAGAGTGAGAGTGAGAGTGAGAGTGAGAGTGAGAGTGAGAGTGAGAGTGAGAGTGAGAGTGAGAGTGAGAGTGAGAGTGAGAGTGAGAGTGAGAGTGAGAGTGAGAGTGAGAGTGAGAGTGAGAGTGAGAGTGAGAGTGAGAGTGAGAGTGAGAGTGAGAGTGAGAGTGAGAGTGAGAGTGAGAGTGAGAGTGAGAGTGAGAGTGAGAGTGAGAGTGAGAGTGAGAGTGAGAGTGAGAGTGAGAGTGAGAGTGAGAGTGAGAGTGAGAGTGAGAGTGAGAGTGAGAGTGAGAGTGAGAGTGAGAGTGAGAGTGAGAGTGAGAGTGAGAGTGAGAGTGAGAGTGAGAGTGAGAGTGAGAGTGAGAGTGAGAGTGAGAGTGAGAGTGAGAGTGAGAGTGAGAGTGAGAGTGAGAGTGAGAGTGAGAGTGAGAGTGAGAGTGAGAGTGAGAGTGAGAGTGAGAGTGAGAGTGAGAGTGAGAGTGAGAGTGAGAGTGAGAGTGAGAGTGAGAGTGAGAGTGAGAGTGAGAGTGAGAGTGAGAGTGAGAGTGAGAGTGAGAGTGAGAGTGAGAGTGAGAGTGAGAGTGAGAGTGAGAGTGAGAGTGAGAGTGAGAGTGAGAGTGAGAGTGAGAGTGAGAGTGAGAGTGAGAGTGAGAGTGAGAGTGAGAGTGAGAGTGAGAGTGAGTGAGTGAGCGTGAGCGTGTGAGAGTGTGAGAGTGAGTGTGAGAGTCAGTGAGTGTGAGAGTGAGAGAGTGTGAGAGTGTGAGAGAGTGAGAGTGTGAGAGTGTGTGAGTGTGAGAGAGTGAGTGAATGTGAGTGAGTGAGTGTGTGAGTGTGAGAGTGAGAGTGTGTGTGAGAGTGTGTGTGAGAGTGAGTGAGAGTGAGTGAGAGT